ATTCTGACTTTGCTATGACAATCTGGCGCTTCTGAATCAGCTACTGTTTTGTTATTAGTTTAAGTATTTGCTATTGACTGTTCAAATGCAGAGTTTTGTGCATCGTGTGTGAGAGAGAGAGAGAGAGAGAGAGAGAGAGAGAGAGCGAGCGAGAAAGAGTGCGAGAGAAAGAGAGCGAGAGAGAGCGAGAGAGAGAGAGAGAGAGAGAGCGCGAGCGAGAAAGAGTGTGAGAGAAAGAGAGCGAGAGAGAGCGAGAAAGAGTGCGAGAGAAAGAGAGCGAGAGAGAGAGAGAGAGGGAGAGAGAGCGAGCGAGACACATCACAGTGGAGTCAGCTTAACCGTGGCTTGTGTACTGCAAACACATACCAGCTTCATCACTGTGTCTATCACGTGACTCTGTTCTCCTTTCGGGCTCTGTCTTTACATTTATTTTGAAAGATGAAGCTGGTGATTATGGTAAGGGGCGTTACATTTCCGATGAGTGTTTGTGGTGTTCGGCCAATCACAATGCACCGGGTCAGCTGGCCAATCAGAGCAGACTGCGCTTTTCGGAAGGAGGGACTTTGTAGAAAATGGTTTGAGAGAGGCAGGGCATAGAGGACCTACAATAATGTACAGTATTTGAAAAATAATGTGTTTTTTGAACATTAAAGCATGTCAACATATTCTGTTACACCAAATACACAAAATAATGATCTTTAAAAAAGCATCATATGACCCCGGAAAAACCCTGCAAGCGCCAATCCGGAAGCCATAAACACGGAAGTGTGAAAAAGGCTAATTGGTTCAATTGATTCAATGCTTCGAAAAGCTTTGTTTCTCCCATCACTACTGTATACCAGTGGTTCTTATCTCCAGTCCAGGGTTGCCAATGGTCTTCACATTTTCTATTGCTTTGCTCGAAACCGCCCCATATACCCTCATTCACTATTAACTCAATTCCTGGTGTGCCACAGCAATGCACAGTTTTGCTCCAACCCTAATCAGTCACACCTGATCCAGCTAATCAAGGTCTTCAGGATCACTAGAAACTTCCATGTAGGTGTGAGTTGGCGCTGGTTGGAACTAAATTGTGCAGAGCTGTGGCCCTCTAGGAATTAAGTTTGAGACCACTGCCCTACACCAGTGGTTCTCAAACCTGTCCTGGAGGACCCCCAGCCCTGCACAGTTTTTTATGTCTCCCTTATCTAACACACCTGATTCAACTCATCAGCTCGTTAGTAGAGACTGCAAGACATGAATTGGTGTGTCTGATAAGGGAGACATACAAAATGTGCAGGGCTAGGGGTCCTCCAGGATAGGTTTGTCCCCTGCCCTACACTAATGTACTAGGGCAGGGGTCTTCAAATCTGGGCCACGAGATCCACTTTCCTGCAGAGTTAGGCGGGACTTTGTAGAAAACGAAGCATTTGAGAGAGGCGGGGCATAGGGGACCTACAATAATGTACAGTATTTGAAAAATAATGTGTTTTTTGAACATTAAAGCATGTCAACATATTCTGTTACACCAAATACACAAAATAATGATCTTTAAAAAAGCATCATATGACCCCGGAAAAACCCTGCAAGCGCCAATCCGGAAGCCATAAACACGGAAGTGTGAAAAAGGCTAATTGGTTCAATTGATTCAATGCTTCGAAAAGCTTTGTTTCTCCCATCACTACTGTATACCAGTGGTTCTTATCTCCAGTCCAGGGTTGCCAATGGTCTTCACATTTTCTATTGCTTTGCTCGAAACCGCCCCATATACCCTCATTCACTATTAACTCAATTCCTGGTGTGCCACAGCAATGCACAGTTTTGCTCCAACCCTAATCAGTCACACCTGATCCAGCTAATCAAGGTCTTCAGGATCACTAGAAACTTCCATGTAGGTGTGAGTTGGCGCTGGTTGGAACTAAATTGTGCAGAGCTGTGGCCCTCTAGGAATTAAGTTTGAGACCACTGCCCTACACCAGTGGTTCTCAAACCTGTCCTGGAGGACCCCCAGCCCTGCACAGTTTTTTATGTCTCCCTTATCTAACACACCTGATTCAACTCATCAGCTCGTTAGTAGAGACTGCAAGACATGAATTGGTGTGTCTGATAAGGGAGACATACAAAATGTGCAGGGCTAGGGGTCCTCCAGGATAGGTTTGTCCCCTGCCCTACACTAATGTACTAGGGCAGGGGTCTTCAAATCTGGGCCACGAGATCCACTTTCCTGCAGAGTTAAGCTCTAACCCTAATCAAACACACCTGAGCATGCTAATCAATGTCTTCAGGATCATTAGAAAATCACAGGTAGGTGAGTTTGATCAGGGTTGGAGCTAAACTCTGCAGCGCATTGGACCTCCAGGGTAAGATTTGAGGAACCCTGTACTAGGGAGTGAATGAAAACGAGTGAGCAAATTCAGACACAGAGTGCAGCAGAAGGGCTGCTGCTTTTGCACAGTTTGTGCCGTTTAATAATAATTTGAAAACTTGGCAAACTGGCTGCTCCAGTAGTTAAGAAA